AATAAGGCAAGTCCGTTGTTTTAATCATCATGTGTATTGGTGTACTAGTATTTCATTATTTCCATTACACGAATATTATTTTGAGAGTGATAAAAACGACATTTTACACCACGAATCATGATATTATAGTTGCTACGTGGCAAAATCTGCCAAGAATCTACCTTTGATTTTCCAACTTGCCATTCTGTGAGTCCAGTAGACTGTATTAACTGGTAGCAGTTAACGGCGTTCGGTGCTATATTAGCAGACAACGGGAAATGAAGGAACTTGTAACTGAAATACAGAATTGTAAGTTATAAAATAATATTATTATTCCAATATTATGGTCATTCGTCGTCGTCAACAATGTTCCCATCATCATTTAACACTGACCTTCGCAAGAAATCGGCAAATGATAACCTGACTGCATATCCGAGTCGCCGTATCCTTGTCGTTTCCAAGACGCCAGTACATCGTAGCTGGTTCAACACAACTTCTCTATCAAATCGATTAGGCTGCTTCGTGTGGTTCGGTTTAATGCAACGGATGAACTGGGGTTCCGCTGAAAGTATCTTGTCCATCAGATCAGTCAAAGATTCCTTTAAAAAATCAGGATATTTATTTATAATAATAAAATCGATAAAAATTTGTTATATAGTAAATATATAAAATGAAATTGATTGGTATAATGACGTATTTCTTACCTTGAAGTAGGACGCCACGGTCATTGGTTGTTTGGGGTCTGTTTTCTTCCTACTCATAGTTCTGAGGGAGACATGGCATTGATATTTTTAAGTACAGGACATTATACATGTAAAATACTTTTTTTAACTCGGACTACCAAAGAATAGTCTGATGAGATATTTATAAGATGGTGGTTTCATAATTATATAGTCACTAACTTACCTCTGTTTTTCATTACCTCCGGGTCGTAGCTTTGGTTGCTTGGCGCACAAAAGTATCGCTTTCCGGTCTTTGCTCGAGACGTTACTGTGTAAAAAAGAAAATACGTAATATTACATTGACATTTCACAATCAAAATTTAGAGCCACAATCGATGAATATTATCAAACGACAGACAACGACGCGGGAAATGTCCATGTAACTTGAAATGTAAGTTTAAGTGTCATTACTGTTGTGCAGAAGATCCCTTGAAATTTGTGCTGAATATTTCTCTAATGAACGAATTGTCGCTGTCGGACATTGCATCGACGATATTCTGGTGTAGTGTATCTCTGTTCTTCTCTAAAAATCCCGCAGCATTGTACACAACCTGGGAAGAAAGATACACCGAAAAACATAATTATGTATACGTTTGCTTACTTGGTGTTAGCATTTGTTCGTCCAGGGTCCATGGTGAAATATCACCATTTTAGTACATGGGTGGCGTGTGTGTTGTAGTATGACCTCCCCAAGTCGATCTACTAGTATCAGACAACATGTAATGTATAATCTGTCTGTTCATTAATATAACACCCTTTTGAAAGAATAATAAGCATGGTTAGCGTACATGCGTATTTAATTACGCGTACGTACGACTAATTCAAACTACATGAATAATTTATAGGAATCATTCCACGTAGCACTAACTTACTTGTGACGCGTAGTGACGTATTCCAAAGATGGCCCCTCTGTAAACCCCGGATGCAGCTATGTAATAACTGTTTCTCGAACAACGCTCGTTGAGTTTCTGTACCAGTGTGTCGTCGGTGGCCTGTGGGAATTTACTTTCTTCGTCGAGTAGTGACAGTATGCCGATGGGCCGCTGAAAACAATAGACAATGTTGGCAATGTAGCTTTGTTTGAACAGACATACGTAACAAGGATTGACACAAAGTTGATTTAAAATTTTTAAAAATACCCTTCAGTGCTAGAATAACAAGTTCCGTCACATTTTTAATACTGGGATATTTAGATTCATATCTTATCAATTCATTATTTCAGTCATATTGACTTTCACTACCAAAAGCACTGCAATAAAGATACAGTGAAAATGTTGTAATTTATCGACAAATTCCTTGGTGAAGTATTTTTATTTATTTCTTTGTATCATAATGGCAGAACCTATAGTACGAGAAACATTCGGTCACTTTTGAACGTTTTTTTTCTTGTTTGTGGAATAAACATAATCGTAGTCTACTCACTGCCATGAAAAGTTCAAGTAATTTCATATTGTTTTGGAACTGTATCTCTTGCATATTAATACCCTCGTTTGCATATTCTGATTGTTCCCATGCAAATATGCTTTGATTGAAGTAATACTGCAACTGTTCATTGGTCACATTGATGCATAGCTGCTCGAAGCTATTGTGCTTGAAATTTTCAAATCCGAAGATATCCAGAATCCCAATGTTGCATCGGGTTTCACCCCTGTGAAAAAATAAACAAAACGCAAGCCATTATGCGTAATAAATCAGTGTATATACATAAAGCAGAAAATAAAAACGAAAACATCGCTAAACGATGCTACGGATTACATCACATACCTGTATCCTTCTCTAGGAGCCAGCATGTCATTGATTTGATTGACGATCCATGAAAACAGGCGGCCATATAACGCCTTCACGAGAGCGTCCCTACCGTCGTTAGCTTGCTCAACGTTCTTTAACACCGTGATTTCCTCGCCTTCCAGGAAGACACAAGTACATAAACGACACGATAAAGTATTAAGGCGTATTTTAAAAGTTGTTTTGGGGTCTTGAAATCTAAGCAAATCATTTATTTTCCGTAATTGGCACAAATCAAGCCTCCTAAATATTTCACATAACAATAGTTCCGATATCCCAGCGGAAGCTGTAGCAATGACCCCAACAATTTTATTGAGTCCGAACATATTCGAGTAGTAGTGCATGAATGACGGCGTCGTTAGGATTTGGAATTGCGATGGAAGCTTGTGTTTAAATCATACACACATCAAACTGGAAGTAGAATGTTGATTTGCAAAACATACCTCTAGTGATATGCGTAGTAGAGATAAGAGCGGCAGCTAACTCAACCGGGTCAACTTTGAGTAAAGTCGAAACTACATGAAAGAAAGAAACCAGGTTATGTAATCAATTAACGACACATACTTTTGTATCATGCAGCTATTTTATATTGAATGATTATTCCTGTTCACATGATTATCCAAGATAAACTTACCCACTTGTAGCTTGCGTTCGTCTGACACGTAAGCACCGTCAAGGTCATAGTCAAATTCAAATTCCAAATCGCCGAGATGAAGAATAGCTGCTAGAAGTACCCACATTGTAAGTGCGTCCTGGAAAAAACAAACGAAATGTTTAACTTGACTCGGTATGGCGCTCTATGAATAATTAACCAATCTTCTCTGATTGATGAGGCACCACGGTTACTAAACGTGCAGACACAGATCAATACTTTTCGTGGACACTGTTCCTACCTCGACGGTAAAACCAACGGTGATGAGTAGTGACTTGAGTTCGTTGTATTTCTGCTGACAGTGACGGAAATCCTCGTCAGAAGTGTATATGCTATGCTGTGAGCGTCCGCCGTTTAAAATCCTGAAATAAAAGAACAGCAATAATTGAAATCGTGGTGAAATAACGTGTTTAGTATAAATGAACGAAAAACACAGAAATACGCTTTTCATTCATTGCACAGCACAGTATGTTAAAAAAGTGTATAGTCATAGATAGATACTGACAGTTGTATAACAACGCCATTCGATGATTAAAAGGACAACTGAATGTTATTAGCTAACCATAACGTTAAATAAAAAGTGAACGCGAAGTGTTATGTCAATGCGCAAACAGGGCAGTTAAATGAGGGATATGCGAATTAATATTGGTACCTGTGTTTTTCTGGTGTTGACAGATAATATTTACGTAGTTTCTTGTCGTTGAGGCCAGCAAACATGTAATAAAACATGTGGAAATTCCTCTCTCCGGCACCCTGGAAAATAACTCTCGACTTTTCCAATAAGTACTCGGTAATGCTGGCTGGTGAAATTAAAAAAAAAAAGATTATGTATATTTGTATGTATAAGTTTGAAAATAAAAGCCGAGACACATTTCTACTAAATATTATCTCACTGTATCTAAAAATGTTAAGTTATGCGTTTGAACGGTTAAAGCGCCGCGGTCGTCGCGTAGTGCGTGTTCGAATTACGCGCAAACTATGTATTTTACACGAGTTGTATACGTCGCTATGAGTCCCATATCGAAAACGACGCGGCGCGACGACCGTGGCGCTTTAAACATTGACGAACATTAACTAATAAATGACGCCTGCAACCTCGCAAATATCAGGCATACACATTCTTAGTTACCTCCCAAAACCTTTCCGTCGACTGTAAATTGGAGTTCGATAAACTTGCCGAACCGACTTGAGTTGTTGTTCATGACGGTTTGTGCGTTGCCGAATGCTTCGAGTAATGGATTCACCTGTGAAGAATTAAAGACGCGTCAGATAATGCGCGTAAGGAGCGACCTCTGTCTGTACTAGCTGAGTGGGGTGGAGCCGTTTGACTTTTAAAAAAACATTTATAACTATAATTATATACATAAATTCCTGTAACAATTACTACTGCACAATGTGGAAAAAAATATAGACACCCCCCCCTCAAAATCACTTTCTCACCTGTAAAATCTTTTCCTGTATTCCACGTTGATGTGTTTCTGAGTGCCTAACGATTTGTTGCACTATGAACTTTGCACTTTCTGTCTTGCCGGCACCTGATTCGCCACTGATGACGCAACATTGATTCACTCCGGTTTGCTTCATCTGATGGTATGCATTGTCCGCTATAGCGAAAATGTGTGGCCTCATCGAACGGCGGTACTTCAAGTTAACATACTTACTTGACAACTGAGAATATAGTTCAAATAATGCTATAGATTGTTAAAACATTTGTTTTTGCATGTATATACCACTAACATGTTGCGCCCTCGGGCGACGAAGCGCTGCTGTGACGTCAAAATGACATACATGAGCGTAAGCAATGTCGTTCAAATCATAGACCCTACTGTTAGAGGGTCTATGTTCAAATACACTAGACAACTGTAGTCGGTCGTCATTTATAACACCTCTCGGTAACCGTATTACACATCAAAACAATGTCGGCGATGTGAAGGGTGTCCCTCACACCAATTTGTAACAAAAGCGCGCTTCGTCGCGTAAAGGTATGGCTTATTAAAATCTAAGCTTATTTCACGCTAATTAAATTACACCCACAAATGAACCAGACAGTCATAATGTATTGGCGCCTTTCTACACAATGTGCAATTGTCAATAGGCTACTATTCCGGGAGCGAAGTGTGAATTTTATCATAGAGGTGTCATGTTAATTAGGATTTATACCAGTCAGCCTTTATTGGCGTATATCTCTACTTCAACAGGACGTGACGTCAGTGCCTCGTTGCCATGATACTAGCTGCGGGATAATCATTCCTAGAAATCTCTGCATGACATGGCATGATACATACCGGACGTGCCCGGCTTCACGTGTCACTGTGTCATTACCTTGTTTAACCATATTACGCTCACTATACCGTGTCCACATGATAACTACCGGGTACTAACATATTATGGTCTCTCGGCCATGTCTGCCCAATTTCACCTGTTACCAGTCTTTCTGTTACTTTACGGTGAAAACGCTATAGTACTGTACGCTAAATATCTACAAGTAATAACTGGGTGCAGGGCAAAGGTCGTGCCTGCGTTTTATATGTTACTTATTATTAACGCACTGAGTGTGTTTGCGTATAAATAACTAAATCAACACTCAGTAACATTCAGTATTTGGTATTTCAGGCCGTTTTATTTAATGTATTAACAAAATAAGCAATTATGTAATGACGAACTGACACATACATGTACGTGTGCAATATTGTTGTTCTACGGTCAATTTCTACTATTTGATGAAAAAGAGATAATTATCAGGATTATAATATTTTATTGAGACAACACTGACACAGGTTACAGCGGTATGGTCTTTAAAAAACTAAAATTAAGACATACAAATACAACAAAACTAGGAATGATAAAACTACAAATATAAGTAATAACATTTCGGAACACTGATAAAACTAGCTATACATGTATGTGTAATATCACATCCCTTCAAGTGTTTACATTGTTGTCTATGGTAACTTTACTTGTAAAGTGAGACCTATATTTTACTTGCATACTGTCACATTTTTGGTATTTTTTGACTAAAATAAAATATGCGAGTGTATAAGTGACGGAAGCCATGTTACCATGGTAATACCAAAAAACAAACACGAGTCTAGACAGTATACATCTCTAGACCTACACATATAGTCGTGCTGGACTGCTATAAGGCATGTGCTCTGACACACAACCACTCACTTCAAAAATTGTTAATTTAAACTAAAATTATTTTAATTATTATGGCACTACGGTGTATGTTACTACTAATGTCAGAAATTCATATTGGAGAAAACGTCCAATTCTATATCATAATGGACAATTACTCTGGAAACTCAATAAATTAAATATATTTTTTTCTGAAATGTTTTAATAATATTATGACTTTTTCATCCAATTTGAGCTATCGAAATGTTGAGATATGAATGTCACGATGCTGTTGAACAAAATTTTGACTATTTTGACTATAAGATATTTCGGACTTTTGTTTTTCGAAGAATTGTCTAGTGATCCTATGTTTTTTATTCATGGCCGGACCGTAATGGCATTACATTAATTAGCGACCGGTACTCAAATCAGGCTGAGCAGAATTCTGTTAATGGCATTAACGCAGAATGATGAAAGCATTGGAAAGATGACATATAATATTAATATAACGAAAGTCTATTTATTTAGTTCACGTACCTCGTCAGTGTAGATTGTTATTTCACGATATGGATTGACAGCAAGCAATATATCCCCGATGTAAGTCTGTGAAACAAGACATAGCCGAAATAAAACAATATTAAAAAAATATAAAACAAACTCCAGCCTAATAATGACATCACCGATGCACGCAATCATACACGGTGTATGTATGCCGCCTGTAGCATATTGTTCCATTTCAATATTTGTATATCCGAGGTGATAAATTAATACAAATATGGTTTTAAAAAAAGCAACGTTGACTTCAGTGGACAAGTATTATTCGAAGACGCGTAAATTATGTTTATTCTTGTATGCAGGATAATCTATTCACCGACAAAGACGAAATTGCTACAATAACATATATTTTGACACAATTAAATGCCATATATTAATATATAAACGTGTTAGTATTAGTATTTAATAACTGTCAAAATGTGGATTTCAACCAGGAAGTTGATGCAATACAACGCCATTACTGTTACCCTCATTCGTAATTCAGTGGATATTGTTACTTTGTTGAACTACTCACATAAATGAGATCTTTCTTGTATCTTACTTCCAACTGTTTAAGAATGGTATCCTCGTCTAACACGTTCAGGGTTGCCAAATCGTCGACTCGCTTACTGTCTGCCATATTGGTCACCGGTGTCTCTACCTATATAGGCTAGACTCGGGGATGGTTATCACTACAAGCAAGAAAATCGTGCGTTAACAGTTTGTACTTTGCTCTTTGGTTGCAATATGTAATGTATGCATACGTACGTCACTATGTATACTGTGGAATGGGTCAACAACTTCTGTTTTTTAGGTGGTGTACTAGTATCCTGGTGTTCCCATTATATGGATTGTGTGTGTGTATGTCTCTCTGTTATAACAACTTTAATGCGAAGAATTTAACCACTTTTCACCGTCTTTGTTTTGTATAGTAAAACCAGCGTACTGAGGTAAAAACACTGCCACGGCTTATACATTTTATTCAACAAGAAAATGTCTTTGGCATGGTAGATAAAGTAGAAGGTAGTTGCCTTGAGCATAGTCTGACATTTTCTACCGCTAAATAAATACAGTATACCGGTACAAGCGAATGCGGTGCCCGGAAACGTGAAAGAATTGAATGATACAACAACACAGTGAAATTGACAGATAACAGCGGTAACAATGGCGCAGAGACAACAAGAGGAGGAGGAACAGGGTGAATGGAGAGGGTGATGACGAATGCTGGAAAACCTCAGACAACTAATAAATGAGTTTGGTTGTCCGAGGGAAAATGAAACGTCGCGCGTGTGCTAACGTAATGGAATACAACTTGAGATATCGTGATGATATCGTAACTCCGGCAGGCAATACTTTTCAGACAGTGTCGAAACTGTTTGCGGTCCCGGATTGTCGAATAGTAGTATCGTGGTACGAATATGTAGGCGCAGGTTGTTTTTTGAATTATTGTTCGGTTCATTTTCTTTCTAGATTAAAACCGTGAGTAAACATTAGACAGATTAGTTGTTTAAACAACAATGACATGTTAAATCACATTGCAACC